GTTAAACTCAGCGCAAAAAGTTTCCATAGTGAATGTTCACTTTCTCTGTACATGTACATGTACTGTACATGTTCATGTTCATGTTCATGTTCATGTTCATGTTCATGTTCATGTTCATGTTCATGTTCATGTACATGTACAAGTACATAATAATATAAAGATTAACTGGAGACTTTTTTACCAAAAAGGCAATTTTTTTCGTATCCACGGCAACTGTGCATGTGGTGATTTTTAAAAATGGAATGGGAAAATTTTGGCGAAAATCTGGTCAAAATGGGATGATCGACTAAAATTTTTTCCCCTTAAAGATAAAAATTACCAGAAAATCTTATCTTTGGGTTAATATATGCAATAAAGTCGATTAAAATTTGAAAAGCTAGATTTAATAACTTAATTATATTTTCCAAAATTTAAAAGTGTAAATTCCTTATAGTTTGAGGATACTTAAAAAATGATTATAAATTATTATATAAATGTATTATACGTTTATTTAATTAAAAGTAATTTATACATATAAATAAAAGATATGATATATATATTTAAAAGTAAGAAAAATACGCCAAAAAATGTAATGCTGTCGGTACTTCATATTTGAATTTAAGTTATTCCCAGTAAAAAGTCCTGTACTGAATTCATATTAGGTTTGTATTGAATTTATACATGAGCCCGTTTGGTACGAAAAATTGGACCATAAATGGGATAAAATTAAAATAAATATGGCCAAATTTTATACCGAATGGGCTCATTTCATAATTGGCCTATATTTGGTACAAGAACTTTTTACTGGGATTCGATTTTAATATGTTTTCCTATATTGATTAAAAACAATAAGATTAAAACATTGTGTATTATAATTAATATTAATTAAATTCCATACCATTGTTTCGATCATTTCGAACTTCAATTTCTAATTCTTCAATATTACGCTTTTTAGAAGAATTTACAGTTGAAATCAATTGATTTAACAGTCTACTAGGGTAAATCACATTTGAGTGATAAATATTGGAAGAGCTTTGAAACGATAAACTAAAATTTAATATAAATAAACTAAATTTCATTTTTGTAATATCACGAATAAATATAAAAATACCATTGATTTTTATTTATATCAAGCTCATATTCCTTTGAAATGTATTCTTGAATTTAAATAGAAAGTTAAAATCAATTTAATATTTTTTATCATCTATCAATATACTGTATACTATATTATTATTTATGGTACATACCTTGTTTCATGTCAAATGAAATTCTTGAAGATGAATTGATTGATTCTGATTCAGGAATTAGAGATAGTGATTTACTAGTATAAATTATAATTGATTAATACTTATATCGAGACAGTGTTCCTTTGTTATGTATTCTAAATATTTATTTGTTAAAATAAAAATTTATAATTTGAAATATTAAAGGTAATATGTTGTGTACTGTACCTCGATTCATATTATTCAATGATAAATTTGTAGCGGAAATCAAAGAGGCTAACGATCTACTTGTAAAAATTGCTCCTGAATGAGGTTTTTTTGGACCAAGTTCTTTCAATTGTATTAATTCTATTCTTTTACTTTCAGCTAGTTTGAATTGGTTTGCAAGCTTATTTTTATACCAATTATAAGAAATTTCAATAATTTGATTTATAGAAGGTCTTTTCAATGGGTCAGAATTCAAACATTCTTTCATTAAATTAGCAAAACATTCGGGTGTATCATTTGTAATTTCAGGTCGTTTACCATCAATAATTTTATAAATAAGTTTGGTATCATGTTAACGTCATTAAAAGGTTTACAGCCTGTTGTTAATTCCCACATAACCATACCTAAACTATAAATATCAGATTCTTTTGAAAATTTAGCACCTTTAAATATTTCTGGTGCAATATAAGGTATTACTCCATATATTTTGTTATTTAATAAAGTGCTATTCGCAGGTTGCGATAAACCCAAATCACCGATTAACCATGCTTGATATGTTGTTAATAATATATTAACCCAAAGATAAGATTTTCTGGTAATTTTTATCTTTAAGGGGAAAAAATTTTAGTCGATCATCCCATTTTGACCAGATTTTCACCAAAATTTTCCCATTCCATTTTTAAAAATCACCACATGCACAGTTGCCGTGGATACGAAAAAAATTGCCTTTTTGGTAAAAAAGTCTCCAGTTAATCTTTATATTATTATGTACTTGTACATGTACATGAACATGAACATGAACATGAACATG